CCGGGTGATGGAATAGAAGCAGTAACAGATGAAGTGGAAGGAAATTCCATCTTTCTACACTTGTGGGAGTAGCAGCTGAACGGTTGCATCGCAAAGGATGCAGTGGAAAAAAGATGGCTAGTAGTTGTCATGCGGCAATTGTATTGTTACGAGCAATCGTAATTGCAACTGACAAGTAAAAAATATCTATGCCATTGAACAAAACAACGCTTGTGGTTGTAGTTGAATTTGACACTTAGCCGAAACTCAACCAAATCAAAGGAAAAGTAAACAGTGATAGCACACAGTTTTACCAAGTTTTCAGCACGACTGCCAAAGTAAATCAGGCTGTCCTACGGTGATTCAGACGCACCGATAAGTGTTTTTTGCACCAATCACTCTTCTTAGGTAGTAGCCGAAATTCGGAACGTGCCCATTAGTTTTCCAGAGGGCTGTACCGAAATACGTGTTTGCGATCCATAAGAGGTCCACAAATCAGGGTTTCACTTGAACATCAAGTAAATTATTGCACCTAACGTGTGAAGGAATTGCAAAGAGCAACATAGTAGATGGATGCACTTTGTCACCAGTGTGGCCGAGTATATGCAACAGAAGTTATGAAGGTTGGATAGACCGGTAAAACTCGGTCCATGAAGAGGTAAGCTGCTCGTTGTCTTCAATCTCCAGGTCCTTAGCAGTGCGACCGGTCTTGTATTAACGCTGCATGTCAATTCCAAAGTGAGCACGATGCTGCGCCAACAGTAGACCAGTCACCGTGTTGACCCAAGCGTAAGGGAACACTTCTGTGCTGTACAATTGGTAAAGGCGAAGAAAAACATTTAATATCTTTAGGTCCATGGATCATAACTGCAGCACAATCCTTCTCTTGATTCCCTAGGCGTCACCTTGATCCACAAAGCCTTTCAGTGATCTACCCAACCATCTATTCGAACGCCTTCTTAATCAGCTACGCATCCATTTCTGGGCCTCAGCCATTTATAACCATGAACATTTCTTCAAACATGCAATCACTCCTCCATCGCGTCGACACATGCATCAGCCTAAAGATCTTCCTCTCCAACCAATCACTCATACCTAATCCAACTGTCCGTCCCAGAGGCTTGCAGTTGCTCTAGAGCGCATTCGTCCATCCATATATCCATCTCCCACTTGCAAAACTGTCTCCAAATTGTGAAACTACTACTCCACTTCAATTTACTCATGCGCCCAAAGGCATATAAATCCCTTAGTTAATCCATCTACCTGAACTCCT